ACCCAATAAATTATGGGGTGTTTTATAAATGTGATATATTGTAATCTCTGTGGCCATGGGAATACTTCACATGGTGAAAGGTAGTACAGCATTAGATTGTCGAAACGGTGGTCCAGAACGCCATAGCTGGACTTCTGCAGTCAGTTCTGGCCACAGAAACACTTGTTTGTTTTTTTTAACTTAGAAGTACAATATGTTCTGTTCTTTGTGTCAAAGTCCAAGGATGTTTTAACAGCAGATGTTTAAACATCTTACAAATTTAAAATTTAAATTTGTAAGTTTAAATTTTAATGCATGATTGTGTTTAAATGTACCATTTTTAGGTCTGTCTTGGAATTTTCTTGCACTTGAAGTACAGTCAGATTTCGTTTATTTCAGGTCTACTAAGTTATATGGTGTTAGACATTTTGTGGGGAGAGTTTCCCCCACTCCCAACTCCCCAGCTTCCTGGTAGTAACCATGTTCAAATTTCAGAACATCCTTGGGAGTAATGAAATTTATTCCTCTGAGAATTTTAACTGGCTTCCAAATTTGTAAATTCCTAAGTTTTCAGTATGATTCCATTGGTCAAAACAAGTTTTCAATCTTAAATGTGTGCTGTTTTAGGATAAAATCAATTTATTTGTATTTTTCAGATATGAAGCAACAGCATGTCATAGAAACCTTGATTGGCAAAAAGCAACAGATCTCTCTAGCAACACAGATGGTTAGAATGATTTTGAAGATCGATGATATCCGCAAGCCTGGAGAGTCTGAAGAGTAAAGAAAAAATTCAGAATAAAATGTAGTAGTAAGATCCACTACTATGACTAAATAAAAGGGTGTCATATGATGCATCTATGGTTATTTATTATTATGTTCTTTTTCAAGCACTGTAGATGCTGTGATAAAAATAGTTGTTTGGTAATCATAGTTTCACTTGTTCAAAGACATAATTGTAGGGATGCTGTCTCACAAGCTTCTGTATTTGTTATATTAAAAGGATCTCTTTTAAAACCACCTTTATCTTTTGCTCTTTAATAAGCATTCACTATAATCACATGCTGCCTTCATTCGAGGAGTTTGTTGTTTTTAAAAAGCTCTAGGAACTATTTTAACAGCTTAACCATTGATTTTGTTCTTTAGATTGATTTTAACATTGAGGTGAGTATGGGCTGGATCCTACTAATAGTAGTATATTTACATGAGCCTGTCTAAATGGGTGGGTCTTTTGATTGCAGAGGCCTGTCATAGGTGAGAGTTTCTATCACGTAACTATGTTGTGTCTTAAGTGCCCTTAGGTTACAGTTACACCAACATAACCTTGGACAGTATCACAGGGCTGCTAAGCCTGGCATTGAAAGTTTAATCCTGCAGTCCCTGTTGCTTTATTCCGGTCCTGGTCCCACCCTGAACGCAAGCCAACTTGTGTGTGGAGAAGGCCCAGGTTCCTACAGCAGCCACAGATGCTTAGAAGGGCAAGTCAGAACCAATCGAGGCTTTCTTATCAGAGGGCCAGAACAAGTGGAGGTTAGAGTGCAAGGAAATGTCTTGGAATTGCCATGCATGAGTAAACTGCTACTGGATGAATTCTACAGTAAAATAACAACTGACCAGCAGTGGCTGCCGTTACCACTGGCTAGGTCTTGTTTTGAAGAGCACTTCTGTTGTCTATTCTCATCATCCTATGAAGGAGATACATTTCTTCTTCCTCACGTTTTGTCAGTGAGATTTGATCATTTGCCAATGTCATGGCTGGTAAGTTGCAGAGCCAGGTCAAATCTTGCCAGTCTGACTCCACCTAGTTCCCCCCTCGTCCCCTGTACTGTCTTGTGTATCTCTGGATTTTCTAGAAGAATGCTGCTTACAGAGAATCGTGATAAAAGTTCACTTATATGTCGCCAGGGGTAGAGGATTTGCTTGTAAGACGTGTCCAATTTCCTAAAATTAGGAAATGGTGATTCTTCCTGACCAAAGTGTCAGGGTTACCTCCTGTGAACCTGGATGCTGACCAGTTTTCAGCTCTTGGGTCTGTGTTTTCTCCACATGAATGCAGTGGTGGTTTTGCTAAACAAGTATACTGAGGATTTGGGAATAAGTGCTAGTATCAGTCTTTCTAATTTTAGAATGTTTGTAGAACTAGACAATTGAATATTGAAAGCTTAAAACCTATTGAACATACAGACTAGTGTGTGTTCCATCATACAATGGGTGGTGAAGTCACATTACTATAATTTGTGGTACTACATCCTCAGCGCTGCATCAGGATGCACCTATTTGAAGAGCAGGTTCTCATCAGACAGACCTGCTTACATCACTGATGTGGCAGGGTGAGTTGATGTGTGAGGACTGGTGCCAGCGGCAGAGAAAGTAGAGCAGCTGGCCTTGGGCGAGAAGTCGAGTGCCTGGAGGGGTTTGTGGTTGTGTGAGGAGAGCCACTAAACCACACTTCCCTTCCAAAAGCCTCACAAAGGATCCTGGCACTTAAGTGGTTGAGAAAAGAAACTACGTGGCCTATGAACAGGAATCGGTATAGAGATGTTGTTTCATAGCTGTTGATTTTAGTTCATGAAAAGCACATCTTCAAGGCAGTATCACTTTTATCTTCAGATTCCCCCCTCACCTGGTGCATGGCAAGAGCAACTAAAGGCGCGTGAGGGTGAGGTCAGTTCCCAGGACCACCCTTTTCCTGTTGGTTCCCAGTGCCTGTGCTGGCTGGGTGGGTTTGGTGTTTAAAGAGCCTGGTTGCGGGTTGCGGTAAACAGGACTGAAAAGTGCAAATGTGTCTGGAAGGACCAAGAGGCTAGTCTACTAACATGTGACCGAATTTCTTTCACCTTTTTGCCTTCCTCTGTTACTGTGCAACAGCTCCACTAAGAGGTTGGGTGTTTCGGGGTGGGAGTGGCAGTAATTAAACAACAAATTATTAGATTATTTGTAAGCCCAGAGAAGTGTTTTTCCATCTTAGGTGATCTTGCAGGCAACCTTGCAAGATGGGGAATCATCTAAATCACCAGAAAAGGGGGTACTAAAGGCAACTGGCTGCTTAGAAAATGGCCAGTATAGTGAGGCTGTCTCTTCAGTAGAACAGCTGTCTTAGTTCAGGCTCCTGTGACAAAGATGGCACAGACTGAGGGACTTAAACAGTAAACATTTCTCACAGTTCCAGAGGCTGGATGTCCAACATCGAGGAGCTGGCCGATCCAGTGTGTGGTGAAGGCCCACTTACCAGCTCGTAGACAGCCTCCTACCTGCCTGTAGTATCGTCACAGGGCTGGGAGAGCGGAGAGATCTCTCTCTCCCAGTGATGTTCTTCCCAACCCCCACCTCCACCCTTTTTTTTTTTTGAAACTCCGTGATTTTCATGTGAGTTCTAGGCCTCGTGCATCTCTGGCTGGGATGGAGGCATCTCACTACTCTGAAGGTATATGAAGTCCCCACCATGACCCAAGTACAAGGCACACTGATGATACTTCCCACAGGAGACTGTTCCCCCAGCAACCCCGCCCACAAAGAGATATCATGTTCCTCATTTTATAGACTTGACATTGAGAAAAACAATTTAGGTACGCGTTAGGGCCTGGACACTTGGAGCTCTTGGGCTCTATGCCCATCCTGCCTCTCACCTCTTTGCCTCTGCCCACATCTGGCAGGTGGTCCACATGGGGCTGCCTCCGCTGCCCACCCCGCAGGCCTCCACACCCCCTTTCTTCACTGTGCTCAGCCTGGGGACCCAACCAGTCCCGGCCATGGACCCCCAACTTCAGCTCACGCTCACTCCCAGTGTCTTTCACGATACATACAGGAAATCAGCTGGAGGATTTCGGGAAAGAGTTCCCTCCCTAACAAAAACATGCAAAAAGAGAGCCCTTCCCACCCTTCCTGCCTTGGCTGGTGTTTTGTGAGGCGGAGGCCCAGGGCCACCCGGGTGAGCAAGGCCTGGAGTGGCAGGCACCTAACCGTGCTTTGACGTAAGGAAAGCCTTGAGCCACTCAAATCCATTTTGGGGTGTTATGGGACAGACCTCAGTGTTACTCTCAGCCACTGCTAGTTGAGCCACTGTTAGTCAGCCCTTCCATTATCTGCAGCCCAAGAAAGCCTGATACACTGGAACAAACCAAAAAGCAAACTTTTCTCCAGAGTTGAGCTTCTCTACTGGCATTCCTGGTCCTGGATTATCTTTAAGATGACCTCAGATACTTAGTTCACTGTGTCAGATGGCTTCCACTTACACCACCAAATAAGTCAGATAGCAGGTGGAATCAGGCCACCCACCACCACCACCCCCCCTTCATCCCTCCCTCTCCAGAGGGCCCGTCTGTCACTCCTACTGCTCTCCCAGAAGGAGCTAAACCCATCAGCAAGCTGGGCCCCTGCAGCCCCGCCCAGCGACGGGAGAGGAATGGGTATGGCTCCCTGAGGCTGCAGGGCTCCTTCTTGCCCCCATCTTCCATGGTTTTCCCTCCAGGAGCCCCAGGGCTAACAAGGAATGGCCCCACGCTGGCCGTGGCACCTGGGGATGAAAGCCCCACCCTCCACCCAGGACCCAAGCAAACCCCCTTCCTATTCTCCCACGCAGTGGAGGGAGGCCACTGAGAGCACAGGCCTGAATGGGCTGGACACTAAGCAGCCCTTCTGGTGTCTGCAGACGTGAGAGGGTCCAGTGGGAGGGACTGGTCTGGGCTTGGTTAGTCTTCCAAGTAAACATTCTCAGCAGGAACTGAGGGAGACCAACCTCGGGGCTGTCACATGGCGCGGCAACAGAATTAACAGAAAGTCGACAGGAGCAGCCAGAGGATTCGAAGCACCTCCACTAGTGTGGGTGAGCACTGCCCAGTACTTCCCAGTGGCCACACACACATACTGAGCGACCAACATGTGGCAGGGCTACTCAGGAGCTGAATTTTGTATTTGATTTAATTCTAACTAATTCTGATTGCACACAGGAGTGATTTTTGATGCAGCCCTACCCGCTGAGACCCAAAAATGCCTAGGAGGAAGCTTTTGGAAAAAGCCACAAATTCAAAAACTCAAAAAATTTATTAGCTTGATATAATTAGGCCCATGGGACCATATTTTCACCTTTATTTTTTGTAGCGCCATATAGGGACATGAAATGTATTTGTATTAAGACAAAGATAAATGTCTAATTAAGCGGGGCTTTCATTCGATCTGAGTTTATAGTTCATGTCACCGTGGCTTTGCAACATCAGTCATTTGAAAGGTTGTCCTCTATTACAGCCCAGGAAAGCCACAGCTGAGCTGTCAGCTGGCCCGAAATAGCCCCCGGTTCTTCTTAACAGGATACGACTCTAGCAATCAAATTCTTCAGGTACTAATCTACTTTTACAATTTTTATTTCCTACTGAATTTGTTTCAGATGAAATCATGAATTTCAGGATTCTTTGATTTATTTTATGTAAAGTAGAAATTAAATCAAATGATCTATGTATTCCCAAGCCCATTTCTGAACAAAAGCCATCTTGAGAAAAGTTTGCGCTGGCCACTGCTAAACATACTTGCTCAGCCATTCGAGTAAATTCCGTCTTGCCTCGTCAACATAGGGCTTGTCCTCAGGCGAGCAATCTTCTCTCTTTCGATGCACGAACCCGTGAGTTTGCCCAGAAAATGTTTTAATTTGATATTCCACTTTGCAATGTTCTTTCAACTTCTGGGTCAGCGAAGAGACCTGGTTTGCAAAGATTTTCATGATGAAATGATTTTAACCTTCTAGTAATATTTTCCAATCTCTAAATCTTCTGTGAATGCTCATAAAACAGATTTAACATCAATGTTTCAAATTGAGTTCCATAGCCATAGTGAATTTTTTACTTTTTTTTTAAAGATTTTATTTATTTATTTTTAGAGAGGGAAGGGAGGGAGAAAGACACAGAGAGAGAGAAACATCAATGTGTGGTTGCTGGGGGTCATGGCCTGCAACCCAGGCATGTACCCTGACTGGGAATTGAACCTGCAATGCTTTGGTTCGCTGAATTTTTACTTTTAATGTTATAACTAACACAGCCCTTACCTCTGGGAAAGGAGAAAATTCAGGGCAATATAAAAAGTACACAATATCAGCTTTTTGAAATTGTATTAATATACATCTTTTTTTTATCCTTACCTGAAGACATTTTTTTCATTGCTTTTAGAGAGAGAGGAAGGGAAAGAGAGAAACATCAATGCAAGAGAAAAGCTCAGATTGGTTGCCTTCCACACATGCCTTGTCAGGGGATCAGTACAGGCCTAATCAGGGATCGAACCTGCAACCTTTCGGTTATGGGCCAACACTCCAACCAACTCAGCCACACCAGCCAGAGCTGTATTAATATATCTTATATAATATATTCTATATGATACAATATTCACTACATAATTTCATTTATTCAAATGTATACTATTTAATATGTTGAATATAAAATTTAATATATTCAAGTATAAAATATTTGAAATGTGCATTAACATCAAGTATGGGTTATGAATAACAACACCAATTTCTAGATGACTGTTTTTGGACCAGTTTTCTTCTGCATTCTCCTCATCTACTTGAGGATTGCACATGTGAGGACAGGAGGCGGGGCCTCAGCTATGCCCAGGAACAGGATCACACCAAGAGCATTTGGCGGGGAATACAATCCCACTCTAAGTCCCCACTGAAATCCAACTTTAAAACTTCATGGTGCCCCTGGCCAGGTGGCTGTCAGTTGGAGTGTTGCCCATTCATTCACCAAAAGGTCGCAGGTTCGATTCCCAGTCAGGGAGCAAATGGGAGGCAACCAATCCATGTATCTTTCTCTCTCTGTCTCTCTTTCTTCCTCTCTCTCCACAAATCAATAAACATATCCTCATGTGAGGATTAAAAATATTTTTTTAGCCCTGGCTGTTGTGGCTCAGTGGATTGACTGCTGCCCTATAAACCAAAAAGTCGCCGGTTTGATTCCTGGTCAGGGCATACGCCTGGGTGTGGGCCACATCCCTGGCTGGGGGCGTGAGAGAGGCAGCCAATTGCTGTTTGTCTTGCACATCGATGTTTCTTTTCTCTCCCTCTCTTTCTCCCCCCTTTTTCCTCTCATTAAAAATAAACAAAATCTTTTAAAAACTTTTTGTTAAAAATTTTTTTAAAATGCTGAAAAATATTTGAAGCAACAAGTGAAACTTTTAGTATGTTTCCCCCAAAATGTCCACTCATGTTATTAAACACAGGAATGCAAATGGGAAAGATGCCAACATACTTGCTCAAGAGGAATCACAGCATCGTTCTCAGCAAAAATGAACAACGTGGGGTTCTTCAAACTGTACACGTCTTCAGAATCCTTGACGATGCCTGCAGGATGGGGACAGGGATGCAAGGCATGAGTGCCACCCACGCGCATGGCACGGAAAACTACCGAGTTTTGCCGCGTAAATGCGCTCCCGTGTGTACTTCACACCCACATTTTGGCCTGAACTTTCAGGAAAGATAATCTTTCATTTTGGCTTTTCAATTCAATTTTTTATTTATTTATATTTAGAAACAAAACTGATTTTCATGTCCTAGGGTACTATTTTGCATACAGATATCCTTATTGCTTTCTATAGCTACACTTTCAACACATAAACATAAATAAAAAATTAAAAACATTTAGATAGATATAGAATTAGCACTATCCACGTAAAATGCATGTCTTTATATTTCCCTCAAAAATTTGAGCAAAAAACATGTGCATTATACACGGCAAAATACTGTACATGGCTTTTCTTCGATTTTTCAAAGTAAAAGATGTGCTTTTGGGGTTTTTTTTTTTCGTTTTAAAAGCAATGCCATAGAAGTGGGCTGCCCTGTAAAATTAGTCTCAAACAGAAGCCTATCTAGTGGGGGTCTGTGGCCAAGAAACAGGGTGGGGGGCCGTGGGAGGATGGAAAACTAAGAGGAAACATCTGCATAGGGGGGATTCCTCCTGAAGGCAGGCCTGGTGATGAGGTACAGACAGTGGGGGATGAGGATCTGATTAGATGCCAAAGGTGAGGGATTCTCACTACACTGACCTAGGAAGCCAAGGGCTGGGTCCAAGGTCAGAGCCTACACAGAGAGAGGACTCACAGAGGAGTCTGATCCAAGTGTGGTAAAGGGGAGACCTAGTCAGTAGGTGGGAGAAAATAATGAGTGGCTTTTCCCTCCTCATTTCCTGTTGACAGCACAGCGAAACCAAGTAACCTAGAGAGCCTCCCCTCACCTATAAATTCTTTCCAGAAGGCAGGAAGCCACAGGAAAGATGCCCACGCTCCCTACCCCACTGCATAGCTGGACAGTGATTTGATTCCCCTAGGCCTCGAGTCCTGCCACGCTCCGCAGCTTGTGCATTGCGCAAGAATCGCCAGAAGGAGGCGCCAGAGAGCTATCCAAGCGGGAGCACCTTTTGCTAATTCGCAGAGACTGCGTGTTCTAGCAAACCCGATGACAACTGGAAATTTATTTCTTCCGTGTAAGTAAATACTTAATGGGGTATTTTAATGCTAAAAGTAAGCGAAAATACCACAGTGAAGAATCACTAAGCCAAATAAGAATCACTAGTATAACTATGATGCGTATATTTTATGAAAGGCGGCCAAATATCTTTTTTTAATTTTCTTTTTGTACGTGTGGCTGAATGCTTCTATGAGGGCATAAACCCATAATTTATGTATAAGCAAGTATTTATTCTCACATGTTTAAACTTCAGTCACCTTCAAAGTATTCTCCATTTGATGCAATATTCCTATTGAGACATTTTTTTCCTATTGCTCAAAGCAGTTTTTGAATTTGTCAATTTTGACGCTTTTTAGTGCCTCTGCTGTTTTTTGTTTCACCTCTTCCACATTGGCAAAAAGTTTCCCTTTGAGGACTTTATTCACCTGGGGAGGGGAAAAAAAGCCGCTCTTGGTGAGATTGGGTGAATAAGGAGGGTGGGGCACAAGGGTTAAAAACTGCCAAACACTCAGTGCAGTGTGGGCAGGTGTGCTCGTAAATCACCCATCAAGAAATGGGCAAACACGTTGCAAGTCTTCAAAAAATTCACTCAGCTGAAGCAACCTCAGCCTCTCACGTCACCTGGTACACTGATACAGGTGGGTTCCTAAAACATTCAAGTATCGAGGAAGCTTATAGTACAAGGGACCTGCCCTCCAGAAGATAATCCTGGATTTATTCGGGTCACCCCTGGGATATCATGATCTTAGTATGCCATTCTATACACTGATATGACGTTCTTATCAGTGCCATGATACCTGTGGACTGCTTGGGCTGACATGTTTATGCTGTTATTTACATTTTAGAGTAGGTTTTTCTTTTCTTCCCTTCTTTACAGAGTGTGCTCGTGTGTGTGTGTGCACGTATACACATGCATGCAGTTGCGAATAATTTGTGTCTTGGAAAAGTCTTTGCGTAGATATTCCTCATGAAAATATTGCTTGGTATTAACCGCTATCACAGAAAAAAACGTCATCCCCTTCATCCTCAGTGAAGAAACTGAGGCGTCAGGTTAGGTGGCTTTCCCAAAGTAACACTGTTGGGACCCAGGTCTCCCCACTCCCCATCTCGACTTTCAGATTTTTAAAGCCACTTTCATGACTATTGGGTTTATGCTACACCTGGGACCCTTCGCTTAGGAAGAGGCTCGTGGTTCTGGTCACCCACAAATCCTGCTGTTTTCACTCTGTAAATCCATATAAGGCAAGTTTACCATAGACGGACACCCCAGCCCTGAACTCTGGGTATTTCATCATCACGTGATGGACAGCAACTCCTCCCCAGCAGAATCCCACGACGCCGATTTTCTGGGCGTGACACTGCTGTTTCAGATACCTCAAGACAGCATCAACCTCTCTGGAACAGAAAGAAAAGTTATTCGAGAACCAATAGGTCTTGTGTGAGGCCTTGGGAAGGGCACTGGGCAGCTCACAGGGCTCCATCAGCAGCTGTTCCCTGAGGTTCTGAGAGTCTGACTTTTGGAGCCGTCCTCACCACCCCTGCCCATGTGACAAGTGATGTCTGCCTCTCCTGGGAAGTGTCCCTGCCAAGCCCAGCTCCTCAACCACCTGACAGGGCTGCAGGCGGGCCCTTTCCAAAAGGCCGGCAAATCTGACCAGCTCACTTCCCAGCTGAAAGCTGAGAGACAGCCTCCCCAGCCTCAGCGTAAAGGCCAAAGGCCACAGCATGGCTCTAACACCTGACCCCAAGGTCTGGCCCTGCCCAGCACCCCAGTCTCCTCTCAACAGGCACCAGCCGCAGCTGGGCAGCTCCCCAAACTGTCTGACTTGGCACACTGGTTCCTCTTGTCTAACACTCCACTCTGCATCATTTGTCTCCTGTATCAGAGAGCAAAGCAAGATTTGGAAAGCCACCAGGACTGTTTAAGCCTTGAGGGGACCAAGGACAATGGTCCTTGTCTTGCAATGGTTCATTTGCAAATTGGCTCTTTGGAACAACTCAGAAGACAAGTTCAGCTAGAAGCAATGAACTTAATTCGAGGGAGGGAGGGTCGTGGTTATCTGAGTCCTACTCAGAGGAAGAGGTGTCTGGACAGCGAAGTCTGGCTTACTTTTCCCTCCAGACTCTGGACTCTGCTCTCCCTGGTGCCCTAGGGGCAACACAAACAGCCCCCCGAAACTTACTTATCAATATTTCTGGCATTTCTTGTTTTCAACCACTCCGGAAAGGTAGACCAGTCCCCAGAGGGGTGCCAAGGCTCTTGCCCTACAAAGAAGTCTGGAACGATGGTTCTGCAAATTAGGGACATGAACTGATGTTAGTTCCGTTGCTGTTAGGACTCAGTATTTGCTTATATTCATTAAAAAACTTGCTATGTTGGTGATTCACGCTCACCGGAAAAGTCACGGCCACAAGGGCCAACTTCGATCACAGCAAAGAGGCCAATGGCACTAGGCCAGAGCATCTCAGATGTCACAAAGGTGCAAAGGTACACGGCCTCTGGCAGACTGCTTATAGCCCAGTCCATCTAAAATGACAAGGCTACTCAGCAGGACACATACCCCACGAGACTAGAGGACCCACTAGTGAGGGCCTGGAGCAAGGTGGCTCCCAGAGTTCCTCCTGTCCCCAAACCTCTCAGCTGGCCTTTCACATTAGCCTCGGGTCAGAATGACACACCTGGTTAGCAAGTCCAGTCACTGTGACCAAGCAATCTTCCCCAGCTCCACCCAGCACGCCAACAAGGCACAAGTTCCTGCCCAGAGGCTGCGTGTTGAAGGAGGCTGCTAGAAGAGACTGCCGCGGGTGGACAGCCATCTTGCCTGAGCCCATGGCCAGTGTCGGGGCAGAAAAATTTCCTTCATTCCTTTCTAGATTCTTTGGGTGGTCTATTAATTAAAACGACACAAGACAATGAAGAGGCAAAAACAAATTCAGTCTTATGGATGAAAAAAGGAGATGTATGGGAAGTAACGCCATAGGGTGATCTGATCATAAATTCCTAACTGAGCAGGTCATGGTCGGTAGTCACAGCCCAGGCACTTAACATTTTAGTAAAAGGTTTACCTCTGCCTGAAGCAAGCCCTGGCCTTCCTTTCTGTGCATCAAGGTTAACATATCTTTGAAATACGTACAACCACCCTCAAGAGAGCACGTAATCCTCTTATTGCTCTTGTCCTTCTGTCCCCACCTTCAGGGAATTCCCTGCATTCCCTTCTTAATTCCAAATGCATAAACAAAGCTGCAAAAGGGTTATTCTCTCAGAAGCATTTAGATCTTGCTCCCCAGAACGTCTTCAGTTTGGCTCAAATAAACTCATAAACATTATCTGCAGGTTTGAACATTTCTTACACCAACATTGTCACACCCAGGAGAGCCCCCATAAAAGCAGGACACCCAAAGGCAGTGAGGAAATTGAGGCTTATATGCCATCCTGAGCTAAGGCCCAGGTTATAGGTCTGGGGCTTCCAAGGGAAGAGTAAGTCACAGGACAATGCAAAGAGCAGATGTATGGTAATTACACGTGTGTCCTGCCACACAGGTAGGTCATTCAGGTAAAAGTTGTCTTTGGTCGTAGGTCTCTTTCTGGATCAGGCTCCCTATCTAAAATTTTTTAGGTACTTAAGGGAGGGGTAAACATGTTTCTTGAGTCTGCCGGATCTCGATTGCCTTCAGCTTCAAACAACCCACATGCCCAAGTGGCGTGACTCGGGGCAGCCGATCTGCTCCCTTTCACAACCTTCCATGCAAGTCAGTCGAGGAGGGTGAGGCCAACGCTGATCTGGCCAGACACCTGCTTCCTAAAATCAAGGGTCACTGCCACGGACAGAGGAACACAGGTCCTCCTTTAGGGGCGGAGAGAACACTGAAATTTGGGTCAGAAGAATGTAAATTCCAGTCCCAGTACTGCATCATCTGCCCCATATTCTTAAGTCATTTGACCACTTTTAGCCTTGTTTTCTCCTGACAAAGACTGCATGCAGCACTGCCCAACCTCACAGAGTTACTTTGAGGGCAAAAGGACCCTACAAGTAGGAAAGGGCTTTGTAAATCCCAGGCGACATTACTGTTTTGACGTCAGCTAAAGGAACCACCTGAAACAACAGAAGCCCCAGTCCCATTGCATCTGCTGGAAGCTGCAGGGTGACCAGAGGCAACCAGGCCTCTCTCAGTGAGGACAACAGCCTTGTAACCGCCTTAGCGCAGGGTCCGACTTAGCCAGAGACTGTCCGGCCTGGTTATCTTTTTTGCTGTTGTTTGGTTTTGTGTTTGTTTTTGTTTTTGTTTTCGTGACTGGGCTTGCCCCTGAGAAGTTAAGTTACCCCATCCTTAAAAAGAACTTGGGGGCATGAAAACATGAAAAATCAAGTGAAAGTCCTCTTTTTGGTAAACATTAAATTTGCATCCCACGGCAGGGGGTCTCCTTCTTAGGAAACCGGGGAAGGTGCACGCTTTGATCTCCAGCTTATCTTTCGGAGAAAACAAAGGAAGCTGGAGCGCTCCAAACTCAGCCTGTGCTGGGGCTGGTGCTTTCTGAAGCCGGAGGGGAAGGATCGTTTCCTACACTCCGAGCTTTACTGAAGCCGTTACCAACACCGGGGTGGTGAAAAGCAAACAGGTAACAGCTTTAGCCCCGAGACTGGACAAAGGAGAAACCTTTGAGAGAGGAGAGAGAGCTCTCTGTGCCGTTCTGGAATGCAGTCCAGCTCAGACAAGACCCTGACAGTTCATGTGGAGACTGACGTAGCTGCAGGTGCCCTGCCTGTGAAATCTGACTCGAGGCCGACGTGCTTCAGGGGCCCATGAGTCCATTTCAGAGCTGGTGACTTCTGCCCAGGGGCACATGTCCTGTACCTGTTCTGGCAGGGCCCCACATTGAGGTCACTCCTAGGAAGGTCTGAAGCCCAGGGATTAGGTCAGGAACAAGTAGCTTCCGCTGGGCAGCAGGTGAGTGTTTAATTTTCATGGGACATTTCCCATTCACCTGCACCCCAGAGACATGAGGAAGTAGATCGTGTAAATCAGAATACAGCTAGGGTTTTTTTGGTTTGGGTTTTGTTTTCCCTGAAGGGAACAAAATATATAGATCACAGAAATTTACATGGATTTAAGCAAAGAAACAGAACTTTATACTCACGTGTATCCATTTCCGGCAATCATGTCAGCCATGTATCTGGTATTGGGCAACTGCCAGCCAAATATATCTTGAATGACAATCACGGCTTTGCCGGCATCAACAGGGCATCTGGTGACATAAGCCTTGATGTGCTCAACTTGAACTTCATGCCCCATCCCTCCATACTCTATCTTATGGCCAATGTCACAGGGACAGGGATGAGCTTCATTAGCCATTGGAGACAGTTCAGTTGGGCTATAGAGAGAGAAACATGCCTTATAATCTGAATGGTGCAAATCTGAACATTATGAACAGTAAATAAACTAAAATCAAGATTACAGAAAAATATTAATTTTAACTCTACTAGTGTACTCATGGAAGAAATCAATGATGGTATTTGGTCCATCTGAAGACACTAGAGGAAACAATTTTATGTTAGCTTAATGTGTTCTCACATATCCTTAATATGAGTAATATCTGCTGGGTACACCTTTACGTATTTTCTGGAAAGGAAAAAAATAAATCAGTGATCGCTGCTGGTTTTGACAACACCACAGATTGGAGCTAAAAGGACTCCGTCCCAAGTGCAAACACTAGAAACACCGGAGCGAATGTAACCATCAAATAAAAACAAAAAATGGTGGAGCCCATAGGGAAAGGGAACGGCACCCCAGCCAGGACGGCAGAGGAAACTGAAACCAGGGTCAGGACCGCGGGAGCAGATGCCGATCGAGCCTGGCAAGGCTGGAGACGGGCCAGACACGGGACCGGCCGTAACACAGCCTGCATTCGGAGTCCAGCGAGGCCTTGGGGCCCCGGGAGACGGGATTTGTAGCTGAAACCTCTCCAAAAAATGTCAGCGCCCTCAAAGGTTCGGAGTGAGTGGGGAAAATAAAAAACAAGCAATAACAAAAAAGGAAAACTGCCAACAAGGACTAGGAACACAGTAAGGAAGCCCAGGAAGAAGAAAAAAGGAAACCATCCCCCCAAATTAAAAGGTCCTTTCCAAGTAGCAAAACCTGGGCTGAGAAATTAACATAACAATTGGCCCTGGGCACCCCACAGAAGCAAATGCAAACCTCCTTTACAAGGAGACTTTCACAATCCAGGCCAAAAACACTCCCCACTGAAAAGGAACTCACTACAAAGCGCTCCACACAAACAGAGATCAGGAGAAATTACAGCGACGGCGTGGGGAGAAATGAGGAAGGGACCTAGTGAGTCTGACCGAACGAACAGAAAGCAGGAAAGGAGAAGAAAGGAAAATTAAAACCTGCCAACTACATAGGGAGAAAGGCTGAGTATATCCAAATAAATATAAATAGATTAAACCCACTATTTGAGACAGATTCTCAGATTGAATTTGTAAATGTCGAGGCACCCTTGGAAAGAAGAACCTGAACCCAAAGATGGTCCATAAACATAAATGGACCAGATGTCTGGGATTTGCTTCAGAGCAGCCCAGGGGGTGGTGGAGGTGGGAGAGTGTTCCTGTGTCACAGTGTTAGAACTGGTCGGTGAGTTCAGGAGTGTCTTTGGTACCAGTTTCTCTACTTTTACTCTTTTTATTATTAAAAGTTTTTTTTCTTTCATTGATTCCAGAGAAAAGGAAAGGAAGGGAGAAAGAAAGGGAGAGAAATGTCAAGGTGAGAGAGAAATTTCGATGGAGGTTGCCTCTTGCGTGTATCCCAACTGGGGACCGAACCCACAACCCAGGTATGTGCCCTGACCAGAAATCAAACCCTGGACTTCTAGGTTTGCTGGATGGTACCCAATCAAATAAGCCACACTGTCCAGGGCTCTGTACTGTTATACATGCTTAATATTTTCCTCAACAACAACAACAAAATAATAATTTCTTCAAAATTTAAAAATGATACGATAAAAGCCTCCATAAACAACTCAAGAAAAGATACAGCCTTGACTGGTGTGGCTCAGTGGGTTGGATGCCGTCCCACAAACCGCAGGGACTGGTGTCCTCATCAGAAGAGGGAAATTTGGATACAGAGACAGACACACTGGGGAGAAGACAGAGGCAGGGGTTGGGGTGATGCATCTATAAACCAAGCAACACTAAGGATGGCCAGCAACCACCAGAAACTAAAAGAGAGGCAAGGAGGGATTCTCCTTCAAAGGTCTGAGGAAGAGCATGGTCCTACCAACACCTTCATGCAGGACATCAGGCCTCCAAAACAGAATAAAAGTGTTTTAAATCCTCACCCAAGGATATGCTTATTGATTGCAGAAAGAGAAGAGAGGAGGAAGGGAGAAAGGGTAGGTGGTGGAGAGAGAGAGAGAAACAGAGAAACATCAATGTGAGAGAGAGACATTGATGTTCATTCAACCCATGAACATGGGTTGTTCCCTCCCATGTTCCCTGGACCACGGATGCAACCCACAACCTCTTGGTGTAGAGGACGATGCTCCAACCAACTGAGCCACCCGACCAAGATCAAAATGGAATAAATTCTTGAGAGAATAGATTTCTGTTGTCTTAAGTCACTCAGTTTGTGATAATTGGTTATGGCAACCTTGGGACACAAAAAATAAATCATGAAAAGAATATTCTATAGCAGTTCAATGAACAAGCTATATATCAATATGATAAATCTCAAAAACATAATGCTATAAAAAAGATCATAGCTTTTTTTGATGCTAAGTAAATACTAAAACCCCAAAACAACACTTATTTTGTTCTCTTGAGTTATACTTTTAAAATCCTATATTTATTAATAAAATACACTATCATTAGACAGTGGTTATTGACTGGAGAAGGAGATAGCTGGTTTTATTTATATTTGTTATGTTTCATTTCCTTAAACAGTTTTGATCTAAAGTACAAGGGAAAAATGAAAAAAATTATTTTTAAAAAGATTTTATTTACTTATTTTCAGAGACAAGGAAAGGGAAGGAAAAAGAGAGGGAAATGTGTAAGAAAAACATCAGTTGGTTGCCTTTTGCGTGCCCCCAATGGGGAACCTGGCCCGTAATCCAGGCATGTGCCCTGATAGGGAATCGAACCAGCAACCTCTTGGTTTGAAGGCTGGCACTTGATCCACCAAGCCACACCAGCCATCCAGGGCTGAAAATTTTTTTTAAATCTAGGTCATGTGAAAATGGGTGGCAGCTATATTTTCGTGTACTTTCAGGAACATTCTAAATGTTCATAACTAGAAATAACATAACTAAATTTTAAGAAGAATTAAATTAAGAGCTAGCCATTTGACCAAAGGAAACTTGACTCCATTTTCCATTGTTTTGTGTTCAGAAACTACGTAATAGAACTATCCCTAGTAAAAGAAGTCAGAACAGTCCGTTATCAGTAGCAGTGAATTTCATGTCCACTGCATTCTTGTTGAGAGCTAATTCCTGGGGCCAGTTTCTTACCTGGGCTGTCCTGAGGGTGCAGAGACCACAGAAAATCCTGGTCACTCCAAATGAGCCCTGAATCTGAATCTGAATCTGAATCATTTAACTTTATCTTTAATTGATACCCACATTCCGAAAGGAGTGTTTACAACCAGGAGACCCCCCTCTGGACTGATCCTACAAAGGCATTCTCCTGCAGAAAGGGTGGTGGCCAGGAGAGGCCTGGGTGGGCTGTGTATGGAAGGCTGGGCTCCTGCCAGCCCCTTCACATGGCACAGCAGCCTGGGTGACCAGGGCCAAGGTCATGGTAGGCAGGGCAGTTTCTTCGGACTGTACCCCGTTGTGGGGTGAGAGCCTCAGGGAACATACCCTTAATGCTTTACTGATTGACTATACTATGCAGAAATTTCCTACATGCAAAATAACCTTTCAGCATTTTGACTCTTTCCCCCTGAATGACACATTTGTTAAAAGATAACTTATAGGAAAAAGTAAAAACATGACCCTAATATAGATCTAAATATGAATATAGTAGGGATTTTATTTTATACATACGACAGGAAGAAATGAGACAGATGTTGTAACTGTACAAAGGAAAAGAGAAAGGAGCACAAGTGTATGTGAGGTCAAGGAACATTGAGATGAACTGCAAATTGAGACAAGACAGAATTTACAAATCTATCAGTTACCCACGATTTTCAAAGAACTGCAAAACTGTTCAAATACAATGAAAGCAGAAGGGTGTGCTGTGGATGATGGAACTGTAGAGCCTTTCCATTGCAAGTGTTTTCTCCATATGTCCTTTATAGAGTCATTCATCGCGAGTGGTAAGGTTTCTGTTTCCTCCCAGAAGGGGATGGGACTGTGGGCCCCGACGTGTGTGGTGGGGCCCTCATAGATTGTGTGTGCAGAGCGGCTTTTCTGTATCATGGCAGGTGGGTTTGGCAGCACATCCTGGTCACCCTGAGGTCAGACCTTAGGTCCCCACAGGTGAAGGCCTCTTGGTGGCACCCGGGTTGGCCAAGATTTGCTTCTGCAGAAGACATCCTAGTGGGTACTTTCCTTGGCAATGCCACACTAAATTCACCACTAATGCCTGTGATTACCCCATAACATTCATGCAAGCTGCCACATAGGTGTGAATGACTACAAAGTCTCCCCCCACCCCCCACAGACTGATGGTCCTTGACAAAGCTTCTCTCCTTGACCAAACTCCCCTGAACCCTCTTCTCAACTGGACTCTGACTTTTGGTCTTCCAAGTTCACCTCTACATTGTCAGTTTTAGTAAGAACCTGGTAAGTCAGTTTAGCAGAATCCTCCCACTCTCCATACCTGATCTGTATCCTCATCCTCCACCATCCCCCAGGTGATATCTGATCACCTTGCCTTGTCTTCTGCCACAATCCTGTCAAGTCAGTTTAGCTGGATTCCCTCAACCCCGAGGTTTCCTTAGTAATTTTCCAAACAGTGAGCCCTACTCTGCTCTTTGGCTATAAAGGCCCAATTTTTCTCGTATTCAGAGTTGAGCCCATTCTCTTTTCTACGGCAAAATCCCATTGCAGCAGTCCCTACACCTGTCATGATGGTCCTCGATAAGGCCTGCGCCGCTGTTCTTTAACAAGTGTCTCGAATAAATACATTTTTCCAGCACATCCTCCAGCCCGGGCTTCACACAGCAGGTGCCTCCACAGAGTCACAAGTCAAGCCCCTTGGGGATCACTGGTGCACATTTGATCTGCAAATCTGAGAAGCGGCCAGTCCTGGCTCCTCTCCTGAGGTGTACTTTGCAGAGGCCGTCCTGTACTCTGTATAAATTGGTGCTTCTTGACTTCTTTTTTGAAGCAGTTATAACACCTGCCTGATTCCTCTTTAATGAATAAAACAGAACCTTTAACAGTGCTCATTTTTATACTTGTATGAGAGTCATGACTTTTTGCCTTATACTGAAAAATATCTTCTAACAATATAATTGAACAATAGTCCCTTTTCCTCACCGGAAGTCAGAAAGGTGAGAAACGTGTGGTAAAGTATGGTGAGCAAGTGTGGTATGCCTACTTTCACACCCCCAAGAATTTAAATAACTCGGAAGTCATACTTCCCAACGCAATAACAATCTCCACCAGAAATGTAGAGAACAGATTTTAACCAGTGAAGAGGATTGGCAGAGATGGGGCTGTAAAAAGCAAAGAAGTCTGGGGATAAATTTCTGGAAGCTTGAGAGATGTAGAAATAGAAACCGCCCGCAAGCACCACAAATCAACACTGAAAGATAATACACGAAGGGCGTTGGCTACCGGGAAGGCTCGGGTTATCTCCTTGGCCGGGTGAACACTGGAGGAACGTGCCTGGGAACCGATTTTCAATCTTGCAGCAGAAGACTGGGCCCTACTTCTCCTTAGATGATAATGTGAACGTCAACTCGCCCAATTATTTATTTTTCAGCAATCACGTGTGTATTTTCTATAGGGTACAAGATCCGGGCAGTATTAAGTGGAAAGCCAGAGGTGATGAGCACACACTGACGTGGGAACGTGCCAATCACTTGGCTGCCTTTGACCTTCCCTCGGGCTGCTTCAGGCCTGGATAGGATTTCCCCAGATGCACGCAGCGCTCACTTCGGACCACCTGATTTTAAATGGGCTTTGAAGGCGACAGGTGGCATTTTCCATCAGCAAGAAACCTAAATGGCAGTACCCAATGTCAGCAAGGCCTGGGCAAGGCGACACTGGTGCCTCACGACCCATGTGGCCGTGGGTGCGTACTGTGCAGTCTTCCTGGGCAGCACGTACCCAGCAGCCAGGACGTCACGCTCCCACACCCAGTATACCTCCTCTCTTAATATCCACCCTTTAAAAATGCTGCCAAATGTGGACAATGGTCTTGACACAAATATGCTCATGCTTCCCCATAGCTTTATATTAGTAGCAAAAAGGATATAACCAAAATGTTTAACTGTAGGAAAATAGTTACAACGAGTACTCGATGGCAGGAAGGAAAGCTTCTGACAAGCCTTGGGGAAAACGAACACAGGTTTATATATAGTATGATCTCAACTATTTTTCAAGTGTATGGCTAAATTATACAGTTCAATTTGCCCAGGTGGAATGGCGGGGGTTGCTTTTCTGCAATGACAAGGTACTGCTTTGATAAAAGCCAGGTTTTGAACATGGACTTCGACAGGCTTATCACCCGCGCACATGGCAAAGACCTTCCTTCCCTCCCGTGAATGCCCGATCGATTTAGAGCGGAGCGGAGCTCCCAGCGCGGTTCCCTGCCGGGAGGCGCACGTACCTCTTCCGCTGGCTGGAAACTGCCTACCGCGCAGAGGGGGCGACACCGGGAGGGGGCAGCGCCGCAGACCCACCGAGCCCCGAGCCACGGTCAGGGGTGAGCCGAGTGGGAGGCGCCTCCTTCCAGGGCGGAAGTGGACGCGGTGACCAAGGGCGGCGGGATCTCCGCGGGCCAGTGGCAGTCCGGGATTCCCAGCGCCCCGGGAAGGCGGGGCGGCCGGAGTGGGGAGGGGAGGGGCGCCCCGTTAGGAGAGGCGAGGGAGGTGGACACGAAGAGTTAGAGAGAGAGAGAGAGAGAGAGAGAGAGGGAGAGAGGGAGAGAGGGAGAGAGGGAGGGAGGGAGGGAGGCTTGGAGAAGGAAGAGTGTGCCTGGCTCCTAAGACCTGTAAATTCTGCACTCTAAATCAAAATGAGGATCTTCTTAAAAATAAATTATCACATATTCGCTCTTGCCCTCCCCCACCCCCATTCCATATTTTGTCTGGTCATCTAAGGTTGTGATAACTGTCTTTGTAAGAAACCTCTAAATTTGTACAGAATTTTTATGAGTTTATTTGAGCCAAACTGAGGACAATTGTTGAACAATGAAATTTCAAGGGCATTCAGAAAATGCTCTGGAGAAGGGCAGTTTTGCAACTTAGTTTGTCTATTAGAGTAGAAGGAGGAAACATAAGGAGGGTTACGTGAAATCCACCTGTGATAGACTGAGGGGGCAGGAGAAGAGCAAAGTGGGCAAACGTCTGGGACCGGATAAAAGACAAAATGCAGAGACACGTACTTTTACTTTGGTGGGCACAGGATTAGTCGACAACATTGGTAACGCATAGAGCTGGTGTAAGGGCACCATACAAACCAGGTGGAGTTCTGGGGCCTCCTGCTCTGGTGTTGGCCTCGTGCCTTCCAGGGGTCTGGAAAAGATTACTCTGACGTTTCAAGGTATTTTATCTCAGGTGCATAAAGACAATAGACAGACTCACTTAAGGTAGTGATTGATGTTTGTCAAGGAAGCCGTAGACCTAGGTTATGAGTACCTATCACGACCTGCTTTTAGTTAGGAATTTACGATCAGACTATCCTATGTGGTTCCTTTCAGCCTCTGGGTTTTTAAGGCCTGCCCCAGGTCTATAACTTCAGTGAAAGTTCTTTGTTTGTTTGTTTGTTTGTTTGCTTGCTTGCTTGTGAGAGGGGGAAGTAAGGGGGAAAGTGAGGGAGGGAAATATTTTTGCAAGAGAGAAACACTAATCCATTGCTTGCCTCTTGTATGTGCCCCCAACCCAGGCATGCACACACTGCCCGGGAATTGAAACGGGGACCTTTCCCTTTGTGGGATGATGCCCACACCAGTCAGGGCTAGTGGAAGGTTTGGAGTCAGCTGTGACTGTTCTCCAGCGCCTGGGTTAGTGCTCCTTTGAAATGCCAGAAGTAACACTGCTCAAAAGGGGCATTAGCCCTCAAAAGAGGACCTGATCTTGTTAACTCTCCTGTAATCCAATCCCTGCCTTGCTTTTTCCTACTTTCAAGTAATCTTCCCCACATTCCTTCCTTAATATCAAGTGCATAAAAGAGGCTGCAAAACCGTTATTCCCTGGAGCTTTTGAGATTTTTCTCTCTGGAATACATCATCAGTTTGCCTAAAATAAGCTCATAGAAATTCTCTGCAGGTTTGGACATCCTTACATTGACAGGATCACACATCATCTTCTAGTTGATGAGCCTTGTTTTCACATATAATCCGAGGTTTCCCAAAACAAAAGCTGGAAGCACTCTCCCCTTTCACACCAGAGCCCAGTGAGTGGATGGCTCCTAGCCCCATCAATTTTTGTTAACCCCAGGACATGTCCCTTCTGTTTGGATCCAGTTTCCTCAACCGAAAAATGAGAGATTCAACAAGATTTGATTCTCAGGTGTTAGCCTGCATCAGAGTTCCCTGGAGGTCTTGTTAAACCACAAGGTGCTGGGCCCCTACCCCAGAGCCTCTGGGTCAGGACGCCTAGGGTGTAGCCCAGGAATCTGCATGTCCAACCAGATTTCAGGTGATGACGCTGATGCTCCCGGTCCAAGGACCACACTTTGAGAGCCACTAGACCAGAATCACGGTGACTAGCAGACTCACTTGGTTGATCACCAAAACCACCCAGGGAACTTGTAAAATTCAGATGTCCTGGGCTCAGACCCACTGAACCACAATCTTCAGGGGTGGCCCTGGGGAATCTGTATTTCAAAAAATCTCCCCAGATAACTCTTAGGATGGACCAAGTTTAACCAATTGAACTAGAAAATTTGGGCAGGGCATGTCACTGTCAACCTTATGTGATTTTATGTTGTAGGTTCAGCTGAAGGAGGGCAAACACAACTCTCAGGATGGAACATTCCTTGTAGCTTGCTCAAACTGGAAATATACAAGAAAAGGGAATTCTGGGAAAAATAGCTCAACCTAGCCAAGTGGGCACATCACCAAACCATCACAGCACGGTGGGAACTCTCCAGTCCTCCCAACTGCGAAAGTGTTATCTTGCTAGAGATACAGAGATTGACTCCTTTCACACCCCATTTTGAAACATAAGATGACAAACTACTTTACTGCCTTCAGGTTTTTCCAAAATAACTGGTGTTTTATTTTTACATCTGAATAATTAAAAGAAGTCACCAGAGTGTTATCCCCCAGAGCAAACTGAGGCCCAAGAACAAATCCTTATTTCCATCCTAAAATGCACAAAACTGCTTGCAACACCTAAAATGACAATTTTTCAGCTTCACTGATTTTAGTTCCAAATTCCTCTGGAAAATTCATCACACAAGTTAATATTTAAACAAGGGTCAAAAAAAATTAAAAGTTACACTCTTAAAAAAAAGTTACCTTCTTATCGAACTCGGTGTAAGTGAACACTAGGGTTTCATCGAGTTCCACAATAAATTAAAGAGCTATGACTCAGCTGTCACAGCTGGGTCTCCCTGCAAAGTTGTTTTATTTTTCATTATGAAATAGAACTAAATTCCAGAAACTGAACGAGCCCAAGCTGAATTAACAAACAGAGCAAAGGCAAAGTTAAACAAAACTGCTGACTCTGCTAAAACCTCGTGATTGACACTGGTCTTGAAGGCAAGGTCAGGAAAAGTATTTCATGGAACTGCTCCTCTGAAGAATTTTGGATCAAAATCAGAAAAAGTGCTGGTGTGTTTCAGAACATCTCAAAATACCTGAGGGAGAACCTATTCCAGTTCATCTGTTACTGTTTATGGGGCGGTGGTGCTGACTCAGCCCTCCACCCTTGAACGTAGCTGTGTGTGGCCAGCAGGAAAGCACTGAGTGCTGTGTGCAGGGCAGGCGTTGCTGGTGAAGGCAGGTCAGAGGCTGGTTAGAAAAGAAGGTTGCTAGTTTCTAGAAGATCCTTGAGCCCATAAGCCGTCATCTCCAGAGAGACAAAAAGCTTACGTTTGCTTTTTTTTTCTTCTTTTTATTATAAAAATTTACAAATACAGTGGCACCACAATACTCGTCATTAATTTGTTCCGGAACTCCTGAAGATTTCTGAGTGCCGAAACCTGAAACCGAGAAGTACCAAACAATGAAGCACTCCCCTTTTCAGGGCAGTGTCGTGACTCATACAAATTCTAGCCAGTGCCACAAGTCCTGAGCAAGCTCCAAGTGCTTCAAAGAGAAACATTTTTTTTTCTCTTCAAAATGTGACAAGTACAGGGTTTGATGAGTTCTGAAGCAAACAAGAACCAAGGTATGACTCTATGTAGAAAAGCAGTTTGCTACATTTGCTTCATCAATTTCTTTTTTTTTATTTTGCTGAAGTAGATAAATTATAGACAACATCACATTTCACCCCTAAATAATTTTATGGTGTTCAGCCTTCAAGATGACTCACAGCACTTCCTGCCTCTGGGAATCCACACCCTCCTCACGCTTGACAAGGGCTAGTCTGTGTGGCCAGTAGAATCCAGAAATAGAGATGGTATGTCTCTTCCAGTATTGGGTGATAAAAGACACTGTGGCTTCCATCTTACATTCTCATTCTCTCTCTTTTTATCTCTCTCTCTCTCTCAGCACTTCCTGTGGGGGAAGTCAGCTGCCATGTCATGAGTACGACCATGAAAGCCCACGTGGCAAAGAAAAGCTCTGACTGCAGCTCTGTGCCTGGGCCGTCACGGATAAGGATCCTCCAGCCCCAGGCAAGTTTCGCATGACTGCAACCCCAGCCATCTGAAATGTAAACCTGACAGTAACCTCCTGAGAGTCTCTGGGCCAGAACCACCTGGCTGAGTCACTGCCTGTACCCTGACCCTGAGCAACAGTGCAAGATAATAATTTTTATTGTTTTAAGCTGCTAAATTTTGGGCTACATCATTACACAACAAGAGAAAGTTAATATGCATTTTGATATCTACAAGTGGGATGCTACCTGCCAAAAACGCTAAAATGTGGGAATGGCTTTGAAACTGGGCAGGAGCTCTGTGGAGAGTATGAGTAAAAGCCTGAAGTGCCTTAAGAAAACGCTAACAACAGAGTCAATATCTTTAAAGAGTCAGGTCAGAGTTTTGCAGGACAGTGAGGCAAATGCTATTAAGAACTAAAGGAAGGGGCCCTGGCTGGTGTGGCTCAGTGGTTGAGTGCCAATCTGTAAACCAAAGGGTTGCTGGTTTGATTCCCAGTCAGGGCACAGGCCTGGGTTGTGGGCCAGGTCTCCAGTTGGGGGAACATAAGAAGCAACCACACATGGATGTTTCTCTCCCTCTCTTTCTCCCTCCCTTCCTCCTCTTTAAAAAAATAAATAAAGTCTTTTTTTTTTAAAGAGAACTAAAGGAAGGGGATCCTGGTAACGCTGTTTCCTGCAGTTATGTGGACAGAAGAAAAACACATCTTATGAACTTGTGATCTGGTTAAGGAGCTCTTGAACCTGAGTGTTGAAAATGCTGCTTAGCTTCTAGTTGTGAGAGGAGAGAGATAAAGGAAAGGGATGGATATTAAGCAGAAAGGAGCTACAACTGGATAGGTTTAAAAATTCTCAGTCTTTCCAGATGGCAAATTATACAAGAATTAAGGAATGGCTTCCAAGCAGAGATCAAATTCAGGGCTCTGCCAGAAAAACTGTGAACCAGAGATAAACCCTAGTGTGCCTGTAAAATCATTTTTAAAACATTCAGAAAGATATAAG